AGTCAAGGAGACCTCCCCAACTACATATGCACAGAAAGGCTGCTTAGAGGTCAAAAAGGGAGGGGATGTCACTTCATAGTAAGTAATGCCAATTACCCATAAGTCTCTTTACTAGAATCCATCTTGGCTAAGAGATGAACATGCACATATGGGAGACTCCTGAGGTAAACCAAATACGAACTCAGAACCAGTCAAATCAAAATGATTGGCCAAAGGAAACCCAGAAGAAATGCCCCATAAAAGTAATTCAAACTGTCACAAGGGTGCAACTCACAGACTCTCTTCAAGTCCTCTCAGGTGTCTATCCTCATGTACTGTACTTTTCCCCCCTAATAAATACTTTACTGGTTTCACTACTTTCCACTTTTGTGGGAATTCTTCTCTGCAAAGCTGAAGAGCCAGGGCCTTGTCACTGATCACTAGTCTAGTGGTTAGGATTCAGTGCTCTTACCACTGCAACCTGACCTCAACCTCTAGCTGGGAACCAAAGGCCCATTTTAAGCTGCCACAGGCCGAGGTCACTCAAGATCAAGGGAGTGAATATCCTGGTCATCGTAAAATCCATTCCACATGGCCTGCACATGAAGCAGATCAGCTTCTTTATCTGAAGTGTTCCATTTGACATTTAATGGGGGTTGCTGAATAGTTAAACTTACCAGGGTAAACAAACATTACAGTGGATTTTATCTAATCCAGCAGGCCGGCCATTTCCTCAGGAACAACTTGCTTTGTGTCTGGATCATGTATAACCACTGTTGATTGTTCCATAGTAAGCTATAGGTCCTGTATCAACCTAAACATGCTCTTCCATTCTGTAGCATTTAAAAAATACTATCCCCAAATTAGTCATTCTCACAATGCATTTTTTTCACAATGCATTTCATTGAAGGCTATTTAAGAAGTTGATGATACTAATCTATAAAATAAAGCAATTCCTTCACATTATATTCCCTGGTTTTAGTAGTTTCTTGGCTTTGTCTCCTCCCAACACAGACTATCTTTTTGGTGATCAGAGTCTTACTTTCTGTTATCCCCACATAATATTTTCCCTTTGCTGGTGGCTTTGGGGCTAGTAGCTGAAACTCAAACCAATCCAGCACTCTCTCTTATTTCTGTTTAGCTACTACAGATATCAATAACCAAGAGATTGTGTAGTTTGCTTTTTTCTTACTAGTTTCCATTTCCTCGAGATTCTAGTGAACAATGCCCCAGGCGTTGGATCTCTCTCTAAATTCCATTGGTAAAATTTACCTTTGGTAATTGATTACAGCACAGCTGCTCTTTCATACCATGGGTGACTATGTGGCCACCCTTGTCCCCTAGTTCCTCATCAAGGTTCCTTGTCCCCTGCTCTTCTATTCTATCTCTTCCTGGATCACAAGATTCCATGAGCTAGGGCCAAGCTAGCAAATTGTACTTCTGACACCAATTCTGGAAGAGTTTTCTCTGACACCAACCAATTCTCCAACACCAACTAATTTTACAATTCAACTAAATTATGGTACTATCTACCTGGAGTTAGGATCAGATCCCACAAATTAAACGGGTCAGTCCCACAAGCTTGTCCCCACTCCAGATGTTAGGGAAACACTGACTGAAATCACCTGCCCTGGCCAGGCAAGATAGTAGCCACTTGCAGGAGTTATCTTAACAACAAGAGATACTGGTAAGGAATGCAGAACTAACAAGCTACCACCCATTAGAAGAATTCAAGAAAGGTCAAAGGGAGGGAAGAGACCCCAGTCCAAATGTCCTACCAATCTCCCAAAATTCTTCTCAATGGAATCCATCTTGGCTCAGGGATGCGCATGCCACCAGAAAAGACCCTGAGTGAGAATGATTGGGCAGAGACAACCTGGAAAGCAACCCAATTGCCATAAAATGAGATGGTGGGCCACGTGGCAGAGCAGTTCTCCCGGGTTCCCTTATCCTGTGGCTCTCCACCCCGTCCCACCCCTTCCCCAGCCCTCTTGTTTTGTCAGTGCATGTGTTTCCTCCCACAGTTCTTTTCAGAGTGTTAAACAAGAGCCCACTCTCAAGTCCTTCCTGCAACATAGCCAGTCACAATGTTACCAGAAAACTCAGTTCAGCTCTTTGTTGGTGTCAAGCCAAAAGATGCAAAGGAGAAAGAGATTAGGAGAAAAAAAAAAAATTATTACTTGTAACAAGAAAGATGAACATCAGGAATCATTCCCAAAGTAGTATCTCCCTAAACAGCAAAATTGGGGAAGTTTTAAGCTAAGGATGCATACATATACAAGAAGGGGCTTGAGCAGGAGAATTCTGCAGGGAATAGAAGCAGAGCATGACAGAGTTCCAGCTTTAGTTGATTGAAGTCCCAAGAGTCAGAAAAAGTCAGCAGCAGCATCCTTTAGGTTCCAGTTCATCTAGGAATTGGGTACTCACTCAGAGAAAGGGTTTAAATTCTGAAAAACAGCTCAAGAAAGTGCTTCCGGCTAACATTTACCATTGAAACAGAACTGGGAGTCTTTACAACTGATTTATTCCCCTTGCTTTGGTTACTTCTCTTGCTTAGAAAGTCTTCTTTTTTTTTCCCTTAAGATCTTTATTGGAGGTTTCCCAGGCGGCTCAGCAGGTAAAGAATCCGCCTGTCAATGCTGGAGACATGCAGTCAATCCCTGGGTCAAGAAGATCCCCTGGAGAAGGAAATGGCAATCTACTCCAGTATTTTTGCCTGGAGAATCCCCATGGACAGAGGAGCCTGGTGGACTACAGTCCATGGGGTCACAAACAGTTGGACACAACTGAGCACACAGCACAAGCCCATTCATGGGCAGACTTTGTGTCAGACTAGAGCACAAAATGGCTTAGGCCTAAAATGGCTTCTCTTATGTCTAAAAGCTATATCTGATTCTTTCCTTCTGGGGACCCCCTTCCCTACCTGCTTACAAAATGTCTCAGATAGCCACTTATACTTATGACCAAAGAGCTGTGAATTCTAGGATTCTATGACCCTCTACTCAGGTTTGATAATTTGCTAGAACAGTTTCCAGAACTCAGCAAAATACCTTCTTACGTGTTCTGATGAATACTGAGGGTACAATGGAGGAATGGCCAAATGAAAGAGACGCACAGGGCAAAGCATGTGAGGGGGGCCGCCACAGAACTTCCGTGCCCTCTGCAGGTATACCATCCTCTCAACACCTCGATTGTTCACCAACCCAGAAGCGCTCTGAGAGTTTTTATAGAGCTCAATCCCCAGCCCTCTTCCCCAACCTGGAGACTGAAAGCGAGACCAAAACATCTCACTCTGATCACTAGTTCTTCCCAGTGATCAGCCCCATCCTGAGGCTAATTAGGGGCCCCACCTTAATTCACCTATTAACATAAATTCAGGTGTGATTGAAAAGGGCTTGTAAAAATAACAAAAGACCCTCCTATCAGAAAATTCAAAAAGTTTCAGGAGCTCTGTGCCAAAAACTGGACTCAAGACCAAATATATTTCCTACTGTACTATAATTACTCTATCTGATACGATGCTCATAGAACCTGGGGGCAAGGGTCATTTGGAAAAAAATTCTCAAGACTTCACTGGTGGTACAGTGGACAGGAATCCACCTGCTAATGCAGGGGACACGTGTTCAATCCCTGGTCCAGAAGGATTCCACATGCAGCAAAGCAACTGGGCTAAAGGGCCACAACTACCGAACCTATTCTCTAAAGTCCATGAGCCAAAACTACCGAATCTGTGTGCTGCAACTACTGAAGCCGGTGGGCCTAGAGCCTGAGCACCACATCAAAGAGTAGCCCCAACTTGCCACAACTAAAGAAAGCCCAGCACAACCAAAAATAAAAATAAATGAATTTTTTTTTAAAGAAAAATTTCTCAAAGGCAAGAACTGACAGGAACTTGATAGTTCTGTGGATCTGGAGAAGCACTGAGATACAGTTCAGGTTTTAATCACTATTCTGCCACTTAACTACCCTGTGCCTCAGTTTCCCCATCTGTAAAATGGAGATAATAACAGTATTATACTAACTTTTTAGAGTTGTTGCTAGAACTGAGGATTAGTCATTATAAAATGCCTGTTTCAGTGCCTGGAACATCCTATAGCACTCGGTAAATGATCGCTTTCACCATGAAGGATACAGGAAGGTGGAAGACCCAAGTTCTAATTCATGTTCCTGGGTGTATGGTCTTTAATCCGTTCTTAACCACAGATTGTCGTGTCTTTCTGAGCTACTTCATTTAGTATAATAATCTCTAGATGCATCCATGTTACTGAAAATGAGTCAGACACGACTGAGCGACTCAACTCAACTCAACTCAACTAGCCACTTTACCATCTCTGAGCTTGCCTTTCCTCAAACATATAATGAAGGCATGGGTAAGCCTAGGGTCCCTTCCGCTTAGAGAAGTCTGAGATAGGGCGGCTAAAGACAGGGCGACTCACGGGTGCAGGGACTAGTGGCAGAACACATGAAATTGAGGACTGGCACCTTCTGGGCAGAAGGGTAACAGACACAGTGTAAGCATCCCTGTCTCACTATGCTCCCCGCCACCAACACCAGCTCTTGCCCTCTCCGCTTCGAGTTTAAAGCCCGGTGGGCCTGGCAGTTAGCTATTCCAGGAATTTGAGTGAGAGGAGTTGCCTAAGGGGCCTCGGAGGAGCCTCTCAGCAGCCACACTAGGTGGGCTCCAGCAAGGGCTGGGCGGCGACAGCGGCCTTCCGCCGCAGTCCGGGCCGGGGTGGGATCGCAGGCGGGAGCCTGGGCAGGTCCCAGGCGCGCCCCGCCCACTCCGCGTCTACTCCGCCTCCCTAGCTGCGCCCTGGCTTCCAGCCACCGCGATCAGCTGCTGCGGAACCCAGAAAGAGGAAGGGGTGGAGCTGCTTTGTGGCTTTTCTCCGAGCAGTCAGCCGACTGCGCGGGGGGGGGTAATCGGTGTCCCTGGCACCGCCTGGGATCCCGAGAGCCTACTGGGGCCTACACCAGCCGGGGCCGGGCAGGCGAACCAGCCTGGTCTAAGAAGCCGGGCGATGCCCCGCCCTGGAGTGTCTCCCGGCCAGGGCCGCCCCAGGTCGGGCCGGGAGCGGGCATCGGACAGGTCCTTGGGGGGCCCCTGCCTGAGTTTCCTGTGGTTGGCCTTGGCGCTGGCGCTGCCCGACTCCCTGGTCCTCTGGTCCCCTGTGGAGGCCCACCCTCTTCCTGCCCAAGGCCATCCCGCCAAGTTCATTCGCTTAGCGCCCCAGCTCCAGGAGGCCTTTGGCTGGTGGAACCTCACCTGCCCAACCTGCAAAGGACTGTTCACCGCCATCGACTTCGGGCTGAGGGTGAGCGCTACAGGGGCTGCTGGGAGACAGGCCAGAAAGGCGTAGCTGTGGGTAGGAGCTGGGGCTAAGGCCGGTGCTCTGGGGTTTCCAAGAGCATCCCTGACGGAGAGGCTGTCTTCCACAAGACTTTGCTGAATTTACCCTTTGGCTGCACACCACCACCTCCACCTCCACTGTGACCTTGTGAAATAAGGAAACAGTGCAAGTTTAATGCTGGGCACTGTGCTAGCCCTTTTATACAGGTTAAATGTAGCCTGCTAGGTGGTTTCATTACTGTTCTGTCTGCTTTACAAATGAATAGAGGCCCCAGAGCTGAAGTCTCTTGTAGAAGGGCCAGCAGCTGGTGAGGGCGTCCCTCCCAGTTTGGTGTGCCTGACTGAATCCCTTCCACCTTCCACCTAGCACCACTATGCCTAGGGCTAGCTGTTACCCCAAAGGGAACCTGAATTAAGGAATATCCAGAGATGTGGGACTAGTTGGGTCTGGGCTGCCTTGACTGTCCCTCATGGGGTTATGATGAGCGCTGGTTGGTGGTGGTGGCGGGCGGGGGGGGGGGGTTCCTTGGGAATCAAGACCCTATCCTCACATGTGTCCCCAAATCCTAGTCAGTCTGTCATTCTGTCCAGTCCAAATTTCAGGGCACTCAGCAGACAGTGTCTGAGAAAGTCAGCCAGGCAAGCAAAGGCCTGAACTGCCACTGAACTTAAAAGGAAGTGCTGGCCTGGTGCTACTTGAGTCAGGAGGGCAATGTCTGGGAGACAGGTGTGAACTGCTATCTCTTCACCATGGTGGAGTCTGTTCCAGCCCCACTGTGGGAATGGAAGCCCAAAGGGTCTCTCATATCCAGGGTTGGCCTGGTCCCTCAACTCTGTCTCTGACTCCTCATCACTGGTTTTCCCATGGCAGACTCAGGCCAGTGTGGCCTGGGTGGGCTCCGTGGCCATCAAGCTGTGCATGCTGCTGAAGATCGCGCCGCCTGCCGTGTGCCAGTCAGCTGTCCAGCTCTTCGAGGACGACATGGTGGAGGTGTGGACACGCTCAGTGCTGAGCCCGTCGGAGGCCTGTGGTCTGCTACTGGGCTCTTCCTGTGGGCACTGGGACATCTTCTCCTCTTGGAACATCTCTCTGCCGGCCGTGCCAAAGCCGCCCCCCCAGCCGCCCAAGCCCCCAGCCCCAGGCTCCCCTGTCAGCCGCGTCCTCTTCCTCACTGACCTGCACTGGGATCACGACTACCTGGAGGGCACAGACCCCAACTGTGAGAACCCACTGTGTTGCCGCCGGGATTCTGGCCCACCACCTGCCTCCCAGCCCGGTGCTGGGTACTGGGGCGAATACAGCAAGTGTGACCTGCCCCTGCGAACCCTGGAGAGCCTGTTGGCTGGGCTGGGCCCCGCCAGCCCTTTTGATATGGTGTACTGGACAGGCGACATCCCTGCTCACAACGTCTGGCAGCAGTCTCGTCAGGACCAGCTGCGGGCGCTGACCACCGTCACAGCCCTTGTGAAGAAGTTCTTGGGGCCTGTGCCGGTGTACCCTGCTGTGGGCAACCACGAGAGCACACCCGTCAATGGCTTCCCTCCTCCCTTCATAAAGGGCAACCAGTCTTCCCACTGGCTCTATGAGGCGATGGCCAAGGTGTGGGAGCCCTGGCTGCCGGCTGAAGCCCTTTACACCCTCAGGTATTTGAGACCCATGGAAACCCAGGGAGGGAGGAGAAAGATGGATGAAAGCGAAGGGAGTGGGGAACTGGCATTATGCGTGAGTGCTCTGCCTGAGCCCTCAGCTCACTTCACTCCCCTCTGAGCCTGACCCCACTTTCCATGTCCACCCTTATCTCCAGGCACCCTCCTTCACAGGGCTAGCAGGTCCCCTTCTGCATGGCAGTCTATGTGTTTGCTCATGTTGGCCCTCTCTAAGATGCCTTCCCCCTTTAACATCCCAGTTTTTCCAGCTCACCTAGGTAGGTCTGGGCCCTCTTCTCTCTGGACAACCTTGGCTTCCTGTTCTAGCCTACTTTCTGTCTCCTCTGAGCTCCTAGAGCCTCTAGTCCTCTGAGCCACTCTCCGGTCTCACGGGCCGTCTAGTCAGTGCTGTCTGACCTTCCACCAGAATGTGAGCATGAGGGTAGGGATCATCCTGGGTGCCTCTTTCCTTCACCCAGGTTCCTACACAGGACTAGGCACATAGGGCCATATGAATGCATGCTGACCGTATTCACTTTGTTTCAGAATTGGAGGGTTCTATGCCCTTTCCCCACGCCCTGGCCTCCGCCTCATCTCTCTCAACATGAATTTTTGTTCCCGTGAGAACTTCTGGCTCTTGATCAACTCCACAGATCCTGCTGGACAGCTCCAGTGGCTGGTGGGGGAGCTTCAGGCTGCTGAGGACCGGGGAGACAAAGTGAGAGGGTGGTGGGAACCCAGCTGGTGGGCAGGTGCCGGGGGTGGGAGGGAAGAGCAGGCCCTTCCCAAGCAGACTCCTCTCTGGTGCTGGAGTACTAGCAGGCAGAGAAGCTCTGTTTTTCTGGCACTCACAACAACAGTGTTCCCTGGGGATTCAGCTCAACTGTCACCCTTAGAAAGTCCTTTCACTTGCTCCCCCTCTCTCTGGCCAGGAATGCCAGCCCTTGTTGGAGACATGAATATCTGCTATCCTAGCTAGAGCTGCCTGGACCCCTCTTCTCCTGAAAACCTTCCTTAACCCTCCCCACAGGTGCACATAATTGGCCACATTCCCCCAGGGCACTGCCTGAAGAGCTGGAGCTGGAATTATTACAGAATTGTGGAGAGGTAGGAGGGAGGTGTGTTACAGGCAGGAGTGGTTTTCAAGAGTCTAAAGGTCAGAAATTCCCTCGGGCATCTCACCATCACCCACTGCCCCATGGGGTGGGGAGGCTACATCCTTGAACTGGATGGACAAAGAAAGCACCCTCTCTTGTCAGATCCTCTTCTCCCCCTCACTAGAATCTTCTGAATGTGATTCGTGTCTTCTGGCCAGGTATGAGAACACCTTGGCTGGTCAGTTCTTCGGTCACACCCACGTGGATGAGTTTGAGGTCTTCTATGACGAAGAGACCCTCAGCCGGCCGCTGTCTGTAGCCTTCCTGGCGCCCAGTGCCACCACCTACATCGGCCTGAATCCTGGTGAGTGAGGCGGAAGCAAACTGTTGGGATGAAAGAGGTGGTCGGGAGAGAGGAAGGCGAGCTGGAGCCAGGGCCCCCCGGGGCACAGGCTGCGCCTCCCTGCTGGAGTGGCCTTGCCGTCTCCGTGCAGTGCAGTCAGCCCTCCCTCCTTGCAGGGTACCGCGTCTACCAAATAGACGGCAACTACTCCGGGAGTTCTCACGTGGTCCTGGACCACGAGACCTACATCCTGAACCTGACGGAGGCCAACGAGCCCGGAGCCACGCCGCGCTGGCGCCTCCTCTATCGGGCTCGGGAAACCTACGGGCTGCCCAACGCGCTGCCCACCGCCTGGCACGACCTGGTGTACCGCATGCGGAGGGACACACAGCTCTTCCAGACCTTCTGGTTTCTCTACCATAAGGGCCACCCGCCCTCGGAGCCCTGCGGCGCACCCTGCCGCCTCGCTACTCTCTGCGCGCAGCTCTCCGCCCGCGCAGACAGCCCCGCCCTGTGTCGCCACCTGGTGCCGGATGCGAGCCTCCCCGATGTCCAGGGCCTGTGGTCCAGGCCCCTGCTGTGCTAACACCCCTGGGGCCCAGAAGCGGGAGAGTGCTTGTCGAAGGAAAGGAGTGAAACCCCAGAGGACCACTGCGAGGAGAAGAACGTCTGATGGTAGGGCCCATCTCTGGGCCCAAGCACACCTCGAAAACAAGACCTCCCTTCCTGGAGCTGGTTCAGCAAAATACAGGAGGGGGGTTGGCTGCTCTGAGACTGCTGTCCTTCTGCGGCCAGGGAGCAGAGGTCTTAGTTGGCACTGACCTGGGCAGAGCGGACAGAAGCTGTTGGCACTGACCTGGGCAGAGCGGACAGAAGCTGTTGCCCCAGGCCTGTGCTGGTCAGCCGGGAACCCTGCGCTGCTGCTGCTGCCTGGCTGCCAGGTTGTTAAAATAAATACCAGGGACTTGGACTCGAGACCCTGCTGTGACTGTCCCAGTTTCTTTTTTTGAGGCGGGGTGGGCAAGGGGGCCCCAGGAACAAGATCCTAACGGCAGGAGGTGGGTTCTTGGAGTGATGGTGTGTTGCGGGCACAGAAAAGCACACGGCTCAGCAGGGAGACTTTATTAGTGATATCAGTACAGCAGAGGTGCCCGCAGGGCAGAGGGCAGAGGACCCATGCCTGGACCAACCCCCCCCACCCTTCTGACCCAGCAGGATCCTATGAAGATGGGGCCTGGCCTCGACCGGTTTCTCCTGCTCCACCTGAAACGTGGGGATGGAGAGCTGGGGCTGGCCTTGCTTCCTCTTCCTGCTCCTCTTCTCTCAATCCAATATTGTCACTTGCAGAATTAGATCTCCCTTCCCAGCCCCCAGGTGAGGAACCCCAGCTACTGGGGAGGGCAGCTCTTGGGTGGGGGACCTGAAGTCCAATAATAGACTGCAGGGCCCCTCCCCACCCCACACCCTTGAGTTCCCTGGGGCCCGATGCAAGCAGGTGGAGGGAGCATGGACGGCTTCAGGGGGTGTGGGCCCCCAGCCGTTTAGGCTTGAGGGAGCCCCACAGCGACTGAACGCCCCGGCGGACGGTCCATCCCACACGCCGGGCAACGGACTCGGCTGGGGGCGCTGGGAGGCAGGAGGTGGAGGCTTGGGAGCGGGCGTCCAGACACTTCTGGTAGCGGAGCTGCAGAGGCAGGAGGCGCAGTCACGCCGCAGCCTGCCTCAAGTGGGCTGGGTGCCACCGCTCCACCTCCCTCCCCACTTACCATGCACGCAGCCTGCACGGCCTCCGAGAGACTGGCAGCATTGGGCTCGCACCAGAACATGTGGCAGCAGAAGGAGGCTGGGCCGGCAGCCATGATGAATGCAAACGTGTGGACGTCTCTGCCCACGGCCAGGAAGGACAGGAAGCGCACCCGGCACTCCCCCAGCACTGCCTCCGTCTGCGGGGAGGGGCACCAGTTAGAAAGGGATGGCCAGACCCTCTTCCACTGGGTGCGTCCATCTTCCTGGCGGCCCTTCCCCTCATTCCCGGCCTTCCCCTCCATGGCAGGGCCCTGCCATACCTGCTCCACCCACATCTTTACCTGCTGGTGCAAGATGGTGAGGGTGGCAGGGGCCACGCTGACATGACTTGGGGTCCACTGCTCACGGCTACTGGAGGACAGGACGGATTCCAGCGCCCCATTTATCACATCTACCCCTGAAAGATAAGGACATGAACATGGCACTGCTGGTGGTGGACAGAGAATACCCGAGCTCTACGCCAGACTGTCTGGCTCTGCCCAGCCAAGCCCGGGGTTTCTGCCCCATCCCCTACTTCACCTGCCCACAGCCCTGGACTAGGTGGCACAGATACCCTTCTTTGGTGCACTCCTCCATGGTTTCAGTGACCTGGTACTTTTCTAGTCTCTTCCATCTTGAATCCTAAGCTTGCTTTGCTTCACTGACTCTGTCCCTTCCTCCAGCCTTCTAAGCAGACTGACCCCCAAAGCTCTATCCTCCCCATACCATGCTCTCCACATTCACACATTGCAGTGCTTCATACAACTCCTAAATCAGCCCCTATAGGCCAGTTCTTGCCAGTCCTTAAGACCCCAAGATGCAAGCTTTGCTTTTGGGTTTTTTTTTTTTAAGATTTCCATTTGAGCAATGTTGTCTCATGTGTCACGCCATGTTATGACATTAGAGTGTACTGTCATACACAATCTCACAATAGATCCCTTTATCACCATTTTACAGCCAAGGAAACTGAAGCTTATATTGTGAAATCAGATAATTGACCTTAGGTCACAACTGAGAAATGAGGATCTGAAGACAGGCAGTCTGATTCCAGAGGCTGGGTTCTTAGCCAGGCCTTTCCCCTGCCTCTTGTCTATAGTCCTAGTCTCAGAACCAGAGGGGCTGTCAAAATCTTTCTGCACTCAGTAATTTCTATGATTTATGCAAAAGCCAAGGAATCCAAGGTTCCTGGCTTTTAGATCAATCAACTTGCCCTTGTAACAATGTTTCCGTTACCTCCCAATGTTAACTGCCATTAAACACTTCCACCCATAACATTTCCACCCATGCATCCATGCATCCTACTGCCACTGGTACTCAGCAGAGAACCAGGGCAGGAGCACATGGCATGGAGCATAGGTTCTGCTCCCTGCACTATTCATGAGCTGGCTGTGTCATCTGTGTATGGTTGTAGTGAAGACATTAGAGTGACTGATGCCAATGCAAAAGCACACACTGTGGTCTGCTCTCAGGCCCGCTTGCCCCTGTCAGTGCCTCTGGGCTCTCACTAGGAACAGAACATGTGGACCCTCTAAGGGCAGAAAACTTGCCTTCCCCAAAAGTCCTCCCTCACCTTGGCCTTGCTCATCTTACCTCTGACTGGATCAAAGCCAAACTTCTCTCCTAAGCATGAAGTCCTCCAAAAACTGGCCTCATCTGACCTGTCAAGCTTCATATTTTACTGCTCCCTGAGCTTCAAATGATTTATGTAGCATTATTAACATCTAATCTTGGCAAATGCCCAGCTAGGCAGATGGGAAATACAAAGTAAAAGAAGAGAATGCCCTCGAGGGACAGACTGTAACTGAGGGAAAGCGTCCCTCCAGAGGGCTCCTCCCCTCTTGACTGTCTGCAAAACTCCCAGGTCTCATGCATCAGGGTTCACCTAGGCCCTTCTGTCTGGGAAGCCTTCCCTGCCGCAGGCAGACAGGGTGCTGCTGAGACAACTCTTGGCACATCTTGTAACTGCTAGGAACTTCTTTACACTAGGCTATGGCCATCTCAAGGACAGAAATCAAGTTTCATTGTCTGTGTCCCCAGTCCTACCACAGGGCTTATCAACTGAAGGAATTCCAGATGTCTGAGAAAGGCAAATGGGCAAACGTACCCAAACTGGTATAATAACCCAGCAACCCAGAAGCTACAGAAGGGTGATGACACAGGAAGGAGTGGGTGGGTGAGGGCAGCCTGCAGAGGGCTCAGATGTGAATGACACTGATGCCAGTCATGTGGAGACCAGACATCAAAGTCAGACTGCCTAATAAGCAGATGGAGCTGTGGGGGTGGCACCTGGCCCCAGAGTGGGGAGGATCACCATGGAGGCGGGGCCAACAGTGGAACTAGGTGACCTGGAAAGAGTCTGTAGTATTTGGTAACAGCTCAGGACTGAAACCTACACCCTGATCCCAGTCCCAAACTCCCAACCCCCGTTATCCTTGTGCAATTGCTAAGTCCTTCACTATCTCCCGGAGTTTGCTCAAACTGATGTCCATTGAGTTGGTGATGCTATCCAACCATCTCATCCTCTGTTGCCTCCTTCTCCTGCTGCCCTCAATCCTTCCCAGCATCATGGTCTTTTCTGATGAGTAGGCTCTTCGCTTCAGGTCTCAACTGTAGCCTTCCAACATACTATATAATTTACTTACTGCCCGTCTATTCTGAATAGAATGTCAGCTACTTAAAGGCAGGAATCTTGGTTTAAAGGCAGTTTTGTTCATTAACATATACCAAGAACCCAGACCAGTGCCTGGCACAAATCAAGCACTGGGTAATCATTTATTGATGGATAGATGATTAATGAGTGAATATTGCAGCTTCAGGAGGGGTCAGTGTTAAACTTGCGCAGGTTAAAAATGGAGCATAAAGCATGATAAAGTGAGTTTAGGGACTACCGTGTGAAACTCTTGGCTTCTACAGAGCAGACCTACTAAGTTGATGGACGGCAGAGGATCCGTCAGGGGCGGCAGACAGTTTCTTTACCATACTGAGAGGCTACGTGAATGGCAGGTAGATAGGGGAGTGATGCAATAACTGGAAGAGTCATGAACTTGAGGGTGAAAGGGAGGAGGAAGCAGCACAAAGGGGAGGACGGAGTCACAAGGCCTTCCTGCTCTCCCACAAGCATCTTCTCACCTCCAGCTCCACAGCTGTGGCAGTGCCTCTGAATCTAGTCTACTCCTCTCTGCAAATCCAGGCCTTCCTTCCACCCCAGCTCAATCCCCACCCTAAGAAGGGTTCCCTCACTGAATGTAATGGTGCTGATCATCGGTCAGCATGGTGTAAGGGGAAGAGCAGAGAACTGAAGATGACCAGGGTTAGAGTCCTCAGCCCAGCATCTCTTGGGCTCTCACCTGAGCGTTCTTTCGTTTGTGTGTTTGTTTATCCATTCACCAAATACTGTTGAGTTCTTCCCAAGTGTCTTTTGGCAGGACACCTGACCATTTCTTGAAGCCGTCTCTTTTTCTCTGACCTCACACCTGCTCCTCCCCTGTCCACTAAATGTTGGAGGGGCTTACAGCCAGGCCTAGCCTAATATCCCTTCTCACAAAGGCTGCCCAAGTTCCAGGGTCAATCTTCTTCAGACTCATGGATTTGATTACCTCTCTAACCCAGCGATGCCCACATTTGTATCTCTAGCCCAGTCCTCTCCTCTGTGAATCCAGCTGCCAATTTGAGTTTGCTACGCACCTTCCCAAAAAAAAGACACACCAAACTGAGCATGCCTAAAATTGAATTCAAATCTTCAAACCAAAACTGGCCTCTTCCAGTACCTACTACCTTTAGAGAATGGCACCACTATCCCGTTAGTGCCAAAAGCCAGGATGCCAGGAGTCAACCTTAAGGCCTCTGTCCCTCACCCCACATCCAACCAAGGCATGTTGAATTCAATCATCTAATAACCTTTTGAATCCACACACTCCTCTTCAGCCCCAGTATAGTGCAAGATACTCTCAACACCAGCCACAGCTACTGCAAGGTCCTCCTGAGGTCCCCACATCCGCCTCCACCTGCTGAACATCCTTCTCCATGGTATCACCAAGGTGCGTGCATGTGTGCTTCGTCGTATCCAACTCTATGACCCCAGGGACTGTAGCCACCAGGCTCCTCAATCCACAGAATTTTCCAGGCCAGAATACTGGAGTGGGTTGCCATTTCCTTCTCCAGGGAATCTTCCCAACCTAGGAATCAAACCTATATCTCCAGCATCTCCCGCCTTGGCTGGAGAGTTCTTTACCAGCTGAGCCACCAGGGAAGCCCTTACAAAATTAAAATGATTATTCCAAGTGCGCTCCAGAAAACTCTCTGATAGCTTCTTAACACTTGAGGATGAAGAACAAATCATAAACATGGCCTATGAGCTCCTGGCCTCACCTGGCACCGCTTTTCTCAGTGACTTTGAAATACTAAAGTGTCTTTCATGATGGATCTTCACACCCAATCTTCACTCTGCCTGGAGTGATCCTTCCCCACTTTATTCCTGTCTCCATCCCATTTGGGCACATTAGATCCTATTTATTTTTTATCTCAGTTCAAATGTCACTTTCTCAAATCTTTTCTGACTTCCCAGACTAAACTGAAGCTCCTCTGTTACACAGTTCCACAGCATCTTGCTACTTTCTTTCAGTAAAATGACTCAAATTATAATTATACATTTATTTGTGTGACTGTTTGATTTAATCCTCTTTTTTTCTACCGCTATCTCCTCTAACCTCCATGAAAGCAGGGCTGGGGCCATTGTTCTCTCAGGACCTGGTAGATGGTAGGCCTCATAGTTATTTGCTAAGTGGATGAACAAGTAAATAACAGGTACCGTGAAAGTATTAGAAATATCAGAGTGAACCTAACAGTCTCTACCCTCAGTTTGCTTAACTATAAAATGGCTATCATCATAATCCAAAACTCAGGATCCTCAAGAACTAAATGACATATAAGGCAGTACTTTACCAACACAAAGCATGTTGATAAATATGCTCACTGCCTCCTTTCTAGATGATCACAGTCCATAGTTGGTGCTGTAAAACCAAACACAGCTCCTGGCTGCTCCAGCGTTTTAGTCACTGAAGACCTACCTCCCAACCTAACCAAAGCTTTTCCAGGGGATTCAAGAATGGGTCTCCCTACATGCCTGGTTCATTGGTTCACACTCAGGGAAGCCAGGACACAGCGTGAAGCTGGGACAGAGGTACAGAAGGTGGGATGCGCTCTGAAGAGCAGGGTGACATCAAGCATGAGGAAGGTCTGGTAAAAGAGGTACTAGGAGGCGGAGGGTGGGGGAAGGGCTTTGAGATCAAGGTGGTGGCCCCCTGGGTGACAACGGACACACATACCAACAGGTTTAGCAACAGGCACATTCCCCAGGTAATAGACTTGGAACTTTTGTACCAGTTCATTCTTAGGTGCTGGGAATTCCACTGCAGGAGGAAAGAAGAGGATCAATCACAGGGACAGATCGTGCTTCTCCCAGTCCCCACCACCAGGACATGAGCTGAACACTGACCCAGCCAAGGCCCTACCTCCACCCCTCCCCTGCCTCCCTTTAACCAAAATCCCTCCACTTACTTGACTCCAAAAATTGAATCTCCACTTTTTTTTTTTTTTTTTGGCCACTCTGCATGGCATGCGGGATCTTAGTTCCCTGACCAGGGGTCTAATTCACACGCCCCTCATTAGAAGTATGAAGTCTTAACCACTGGACCACCAGGTTAAGTGCTGAGTCTCCATTTTACTATGTAGACTCTGCCCAGGAACTATTTTTACTCTGCCCAGGAACGTGTGCCTCTTCTTGGGTCCCCCAACTTTGCCAACAAAACTGAGACAGGCCTGGCGGGGTTGTGACACTGACCTTGGAAAGGGACGTCCACAAGTTTCGAGTGGTCCAGGGAGAGTCCGTTTACCAAGCAACGGGCGTTGCGCCTTTCCGCCATGATCTGGGGAAGGGAGGGGATGGGGAAGAGGGAGGGCGGGTCAGTCAGGGCTTCGTAGGCCTGGAGCCCACCCTCCCCCTACTCAAAGACCCCACCCACGTCCTTGTCGAGCAAAGGTGGCAGCTACTCCAGGGTGCGAAGGGGACCGTGCCTTAGAGCAGATCTCATGCAGGCTGGTGGCGATGTTCTTGGCGGGTGCCTCACAGCGAAACACGTGGCACTTGAGCATCTGGGTCAGCTTATCGCGAGCTACGTAGGCAAAGTCCCTGTTGGGGTAGGGGCGCCTCAGTGTCTCCCAGTGACTTTCAGTCCGGAGCCTCACTCCCGCCCACCCACGCCCTCCGCATCCGTCTGCCCTCGGGTCGCTGTCCTGCGGGCACTGCTCTCTGGCCGGAGGGTAGACAGGCAAGCATGCCGAGGTCGGGGAGGGTGGGCGAGCACAGCGCGCAGGGAGGGGCGGGGCGGACTAGGGAGACTTGGGCGCTTTGCTGCATCTGGTCCAGGGGTGGGGAGAGGAACGGTCAGGGTAAATTAGGCATAGTACCTCTCTCTGGGTCCGGCAGCACAAGAGAGTCAAACAACAGAGTTAGGGAGGAGAGCCTCGCTCTGACTGCTGGCTGAGCCCCCACCCCGGAGCCCCGGCCCTGCTCCCACCTTCCGCTGTCCCGCCCGACGCCCCACACGCGGATGCTGACGATGGGCTGGGCGTGCAGCAGGGCCTGACTGTGTGGCTCCACCAGCTTCAGCGTCTCATCTTCCAGCTGCAGCAGCAGATCTTTTCCCTGAAGGCCCAGGAAGCAGATGCTGAGCGGTGCCCCAGCCGGGAAGGTGGCTGATCTTTGCCACTTCCAGCTCGAGGCAGGTGAGCCACTGCTCTGGGGCCCTCGCTTTGGTGTGCGACCAGCTACCCTGCAGGCTTCGCTCTAACAAAGCTCACATCTTTCATCTCCAATGTGACTCCTTTTATCAACCCCATCACTGTTAGATAACCATCTCCCAATCAAGAGTCACACTTCCATCTCGCAGACTGTTGCCTGGTGGGTCTGCACCTCCCTCCCCAGCCCTGGCAGAGGGGCAGCTTGGTTCTCCCAGCTCTCCCAGTTTCTGCACTTCACCGCCGCCCTGACACCCTGCCAGCTCACCTCCCCCCAGCCCCCAGACATGGGGTCGTGCAGATTATTTTTGTGGTAGGAGAGCTGACGGATGCAATTGTTGACTGCCACGCTGCTGCGGCCAGGGGCCAGCTCCTCCTCGGTCATCTCCACCCAGCCTAGGGAGCGCACGGCGAAACACTGCCAGACACAAAAGAGGGGGTGGGAGGTAGAGGGTCTGGTCTAAACACAGAAGAGCCCCCAGCCAGGACACAGGGCACTCTGCTGAGACCAGAGGAGTTCCCGACTAAGAGCACGGCAGGTGGGAGGACATTAGAGGCTCTACAAATAGGACAGAATGGCAGGAGGGCTGATGGTCTCAGAGGAGACCCCTAGGCAGGAAGCACCTGAGCCCAGCCAGGAAGGACCCCCTGCCAAGCCACAGGGCTGCCTGAGTTATAAACTGAAGTGCCTCCTGCTCAGACACAAGGGTCTGTGCTGAGAGTGCAAGAGCTCAGGACCTGGGGAGCTGTAAGACAAGAGAGACCCCAGAACCTGACCCGAGGGCTCTCCTGGTCACGGGGGCCCAACTTGGGAAGAGGCATTGCCTTGAACACACCTTGATCCCTGGGTTGGCATTCCGTGGGGGCAGCTTCTCCTCCTCTTGGGGCAATGGCTCCGGGCTGGAGGCAGATGGTAACACTTGGTACAGGCCCCCAAAGAGGGAGCTGTCCCAAGGCCCCTTCCAGACAGACCCATCCCACTGCCAGCCCACTCACCTGAGGCTCTGAGCTGGGAAAGGCAACATCCCCTCCTCGGGGTCCTTCAGCCCCAAATCCATTGGGGCCTCCTCACTGGGCTCATCCTGAGGAAGGAGAGAGAGAAATCAGGACCCAAACGATGACCTGTCTCCAGCTCCCCCATCGTGAAGGAGGTCCCCTCACTCACTTTCCAAAATTCTCCATCCTCAAAGCGTTCTCCATGAGTGAAGCCGGTCCAGGTGAGCTAGGAACAGGGATGGGAGCAAGGAGTGGCTGGCTCATCTTGCCCCAGCAGCACCCCCCTCCACCCCAGGTCAGAACCATCAGGCCTGTGGGCTTCACCTGGGACTCCTCTCGGGGGCTGCTCCCCTGTGATGGTGAGGCCCGGCCCGGGGGCTCCCACTGAGTGGTCCCCGTTGGGATGTGCCAGTAGTAGGTCCCTGAGGTGTCCTGGACCCTCATCCATCCAGCCGGCAGGTCGGAATCCGTCTCGAAGGCGTTGGGGTTCCAAAAGGAATCTGCCAGATGGGGGGGGGGGGTCTCAGTGAGGGTCTGCCTACCTAACAAGAGAATCATGGGTGCTATGCCCAGTCCAGTCCCGAGACCCAGTGGTGGAGAAGGGGCGAGGGAAGGGCTCCAACGAAAGATTCCTGCTTCCGCCTAGAGCCTGAAGTCTGGCGTCACAGCATGGGGTGGCCACCAGCAGGGGATGTGACTCAGGTCTCCTCCTGGGCCCTGCTCCTGGCTAATGTGGCCACACAGAGGGAAGGAGGAGGGTGGAGAGAGGGCAAGGAGGTTGAGTGACCCCAAATGACCTGTCATACATATCCATATCTCAAGTGCACACACTTACCAGCGCCCGCACACACACATGCACACAGACACACAACATATACAAGCTCTGCTACACACCTGTGTAGCCCCCACAAACACAAGGGTGTGCACACACAGGAAACACCCGCACAGATGGCAGGGATTGCGTTCAGGTGCACACACAAGTGCAGGGACACACACACACACACACACACCAACTCCATCCACCCACTAATGCAGCCACCATCCACAAAGGCGTGCGCACACACAGATGTATATTCTAGCCCCTGCCACACACGTGTGCAGAGACCACATCCACGATGCCCCCCAAAACATGTGTGGGTACCACACCCACAGTGAATGCACGTTCAGACACGCAACATATGTCAACCTCTGCCACACGTGTGCAGATACCACAGACACCTTGACCCTTGCCACACACACGTGCAGACATTTCATGCACACGCGCACACCACACACCTGTGACATGCTCTCCCCTCCCTGAGCAGAGCCACACCATTCCAGCCCCGCAGCCCAGCTCCCGCCTCCACCACCTCCGTGCTCCCGGCCAGCCCCGCCCCACATGGTGCTGTTCCTCACCTGGGCTACTGTCCTGCAGGAGGATGGCCAGGAAAAAGTCCTGGGAGAACATGGCACTCCTTCCCAGCCCCTCCTGCTCCACCCTGCCTCCTCACAGCCTCTCCAGCCTGGCCAGCTGGGCTCACAGCCTGGTGCTGGGCTGCGGAGAGCAGCTCATCCCGCCCACTTCTCACCAGGGCAGAGCGCCTGCCAGGCAGGATCCTCCCCCACCTGGAGCTCTCCATGGAGGGGCCGGGACCACAAGGGGAGGGAATCCCCTTGGAGTGGGGATGGAGGGTGCGGCTCGTGAGACCCCAGCCTTCCCTGCTCACATCTCTTCTTTCTGATCCTAGATCCCCTCCCCCAATCCTGAATCTCCATCCCACCCCCCGCAGCGGTCACCTCAGTGCCACAGTCAAGCCCAGCCTTAGGGATGACAGGATGCTCAACCTCGTGGGAACACCCCGGCCACCTGGGGCCCTGCAAAGCCTAGAGCTCTCCGTGCAAACAGGGTGTGGCTTCCAGGCTCCCAGGGATCCCGCCCCTGCCCAGAATCTGCCAAGCAGTTCAAGCGGGACAGTGGGCTTCAGGGGCTGGGCCCCAGCAAGCTTGAGGCTGGGCTTGGGGTTTCCCAGAACCAACCCCCCTCACCTGCCAGGGCCCAGCTAGGCTGCAGCGTCTCCTCGGCAACCGCAGCACCAGGACCGGCTGGGAGCGCCCAGACTGCTGACGTGCTTCCCGTTACCAGGGAAACCAGGAATCCTGACTGGTCCAAGAGGCAGCACTGAGGGACAGGCAGTCAGTCCCCAGACCCAGGCTGCTGGGCAACCAGGCGAGGAGGGCTGGGAGTGGGCGTGGCCGCACCAAGGTGACTGCGCCTGATGCGAGAGTCACTCTGGCGAGGCGCCTCACCGCCCTCAGCTTCCCATGAAGTGGCCTCACAGAGGGGGGGCTCTTCTTGCCCATGCAGCCTCCAGGTACCCGTTACTGCCTCCCTCCCCCCAGCCTCCTCTCCCCTCAGGCCCTAGGGAATTAGAATGCCTGCCTTTCCCCGAGACCCTCCACTGTCTTCAGGGCTTTCCCGCCAAACCTTCCAGGAACACCACACCCAGGGCAACTGTGTCCCCCAGAGCCACACCCTTCTTCCAGAAGGGTCATATACCCCTGAATCTGAGGACCAGGTCACCATCTCCTGACTGAGTCACACACACCAATCCATCTGCCATCCCTGTCAGTCGGCACCTTCCTGCCTCAAAGAGCTTCATCCTTCCGATCTGTCCTGGAGGGGCCGCTCTCCCCCCGGACCATCTGGGAGGCCCTTCTGGAGCTTGGCACATCTCTCTCTGAGCACAGCCCCACCCTGGCCCTTGCTTCCACAAACACACATTTATTTAGAAATGCACACTTTCACTCCTGCACCAGTTCATTCAGGTGCTCCCCCCATGCACTCAAAGGTTCATGTATCATTCACTCATCCACACAGGCCTCCTTGACTAAACCAGATGTAGTCACCTGCTCTCCCTTTCCCCACCCCTGCTCACTCCCGAAGTCCAGCTAGGTCACTGCAACAGCCTCCCAAGTTGGTCTCCCTCCTCCTATTTAGCCCTTTCCAATGCATTGAAATGCAGTGGTCATGTATGGATGTGAGAGCTGGACTGTGAAGAAAGCTGAGCGCTGAAAAATTGATGCTTTTGAACTGTGGGGTTGGAGAAGACTCTTGAGAGTCCCTTGGACTGCAAGGAGATCCAACCAGTCCATCCTGAAGCAGATAAGTCCTGGGTGTTCATTGGAAGGAGTGATGCTGAAGCTGAAACACCAATACTTTGGCCACCTCATGCGAAGAGTTGACTCATTGGAAAAGACCCTGATGCTTGGAGGGGTTGGGGGCAGGAGGAGAAGGGGACAACAGAGGATGAGATGGCTGGATGGCATCACCGACTCGATGGGCATGAGTTTGAGTAAACTCCGGGAGTTGGTGATGGACAGGGAGGCCTGGCGTGCTGCGATTCATGGGGTCACAAAGAGTCGGACGCGACTGAGCGACTGAACTAAACTGAATCTGAACTGCATGCTACAGCCCAAATGACTGTTCTAAAATGCTAACAACCTTCTCTCCAGTTGAATACTCTAATTGTTTTCTCTTTGCCCCTGGGACAGAACCCAATTCCTCCACCAGGTTTGTTGGACCTTATGAGCCCCTATTTGCCTGCCTCTCAGCCTTACCTCTGACCACTCCCCACAGCCCTGGTCTCTCCCCCTGCCTGGGACATGCCCCTTATCGTCTCTGATCCCAGCCTCCATTCCCTCAAACTTCACCTGGCACCACCTACTGGGCATCAGTGTAAAGTTCCCTTCTCAAAACTGACCCACCTCCTGTCTATTACCATGCTCTTCCTGCACCTCCCCAACCCCAGGGCTCAAACTACCTATTTACTTCTGTCAAAATACTAGACTGAGTGCTATGAGGGCAGGAATATCTGTCTTGCAGTATGTATTCTCAGCATTTAGGACAAGACCTGGCACTGTACATACTTGTAGTATGTATTCTCAGCATTTAGGACAATACCTGGCACTAAGTATGAACCCAACACAGGTAGGAAAGTTCATTCATTCATCATTCGCTCATCATTCATCCATCCATCCACTCATTCATATACTTCGGCATTCAATTAACAACCTTGTGGAGATCCTAGGGTGGGAAGGAAAAAATAATGTTTGCTCAGTTCTACCACATTCCACAGGAGGCCAGACCTCCTCTGTGGTCTTCCTGGTCATAGCAACAGTCATAAGAGAGTAGGCAGTGACGCAGCCTATTCTTAGATTCTCGATCTCCACTGCCTCCAGCAGACCTTGATCCTTGCCCATCCTCTCACCACACCAGCTCCCTTGCTGAGGTCACTGCCCACACCCGGCACACTCTTCCCAGCTCTTGAGCAGTTCTGTCCTCCCACTCTCGGAAGGCTCATAGGAGCAACCACCATAGTGCCCCTCCAGGGACCCCAGAGCAACCAGGGTCTCCGCTGTTTGGCCCTTGATTGACACCCCCTAAGGCAGAGATTGCAAACAAGCTGCGTGCAAACTGGTGTAAGCCTCAGACAGATTTTGTTTGGCCTGTGTGGTACTTTTTTAAAAAACAAACTTGGTTGCTAACATTTAGAAATTGGGATGTTTCACATCGATATCTAGTTTTCAGTTTCCCTTGAAGAACTGGCTCCACTGAGACGACATTTCCCCATACCTAACCCTATGAGTAACCAGCTGGAGTGGAGTAGCAGCAGTTCCCTATAAAGGGGATCTGGGCAATGGTCACTGACGGTCGCTAACATCCCTCTCAAGACAGGCAATTAGATTTTGTCTTTGGTAGAAGTACTCAGTACCACCTGTAAAGTGTCCTTTCAAACAAAACAAAACACAAACAAAAACAAAAGGCTCTCGAATTCACTGCCAGTTTATGGGAAGTCCAGGGGAAGTGGAACTTGTTCAAATCCAGAACATGGAAAACCCAGGGCAAACAACACAGTGGCTTCAATTGAAACAACAAAATTTTGAGCAAAAATAGAAATGGAGGGATAAGGTACAGATCAAAAGAAACTTTGAGAGGTACCATCAAAAGGTCTGTTCCTATTTGGATACTGATGAAATGAATCAAATTTTAAAAGGGCAGGGAGCACATTCATTAGACAACTGGGAAATGTCAACACTGACTAGATATTCAGTGATATTGAGGAAGTACTGTTAAATTTCTGTGCGCGTGATTTCAGTAGTTCGGATTTTTTTTGACAGGCGGGGGGGGCGGGCAGGAGCATGCATATAGCATCTTAGTTCCCAAGTAGGGATGGAAACTGTGCCCCCTTGGAATGGAAACACAGAGCTTTAACCACTGCACCACCAGAAAAGTCCTTGGATTTTTAAAAAGTGTTTCATATTTTATACATGCACGAGTTGGGAGACTTCTCTGGTGGTCCAGTGGTTAAGAATCCGCCAGCCAGTGCAGGGGACATGGGTTCGATCCCTGATCTGAGAAGATTCCACACACCACAGGGCAACTAGGCCCATGTGCCACAACTACTAACACCCGAGCGTCCAAGAGCCTGTGCTCCACAGCAAAAGAGGCCACAGCAATGAGAAGACGGAGCACCATAGCGAGAGAGTAGCCCCCACTTGCCTCAACTAGAGAACGCCCACCGCAGCAGCTAAGACCAAGTGCAGCCAAAAACCAATCAATCAAGAATAAAAAAAAAAATGCATGAGTGAACATTTACAGATCTATTTGCTTCAAAATAGCCCAGGTTGGGGCCCAGAAGTAGTAGGTGGGGGTATGGATGCAACAAGGCTAGCCATGTGTTGATAATTGTTGAAACCGGGTCATGAGTAAGTCAGGTTCTTTATTCTGTTATTTTTGTATATGTCTGAAAATGTCCATAGTAAGTTTTTTGAAAGGGGATGGCATGCTGCCCTTCGTTCATCTGAACAGCCTGCTCCCTGCCAAGGTTCCCCAGTCTGGGGTAAGGTGCCTGCTGCCTGGAGTGGGAAGAGTCTTTCCTTACACTACCATCCAGCACAGGCTTGTGGCTGCAGCCCATTATCTCTGCCCTTTGCTCCTCAGCTCTATCTGCATCTCCATGTGACACTAGCAAATGCAGAGACGCAACTTCTTTAAATGCGACCCACTGAAGGATCAATCCTTGGAGTCCTAATATCTATCCCCCCATCCCAACAAAGCATTCTCTTATTCTTCCTTTGTTTCCTTTTAGTCAATATCCTCTTCCTGACAAAACATTACTCTTGCAACATCCAGTGTGGTGCTCTGTACATAACATTCCAATCCTTCCAAATAGACCTCTGTGGGGAGCTGCCGCCTGTTCAAAACTGCCTGGAGGGCACCTAGGTTTGTCTGGCTGTAGGCATCGGTGACAGCATAAGGGCCAAGAGCTCGGGTCTGCACTTGGACCTGGTTTCGATCCCAGTTCAACTGTGACCTCAGACTGTAGGTGACCTTGAAAGTGGAAGTCGCTCGGTCATGTCTGTTACTTTGCGACCCATGGACTGTAGCCTGCCAGGCTCCTCTGTCTATGGAATTCTCCAGGCCAGAATACTGGAGTGGGTAGCCATTCCCTTCTCCAGGGAATCTTCCCAACCCAGGGGTGGAACCCAGGTCTTCCGCATTGCAGGAGGATTCTTTACCATCTGAACCACCAGGGAAGCCCGTGTGTGACCTTGGGAGAGGACTAAATCTCTCCAGGCCCATTTTTTGTCACCTGTACTATGGGCATACTAATGACATCTACCTCCTATTGGCGTGCAGATTTAATACCATAATACTGAGCAGAGAGCCAGTACTTGGTAAGTGCCTCATAAACAGACCAGTCCATCATTCATCGGGGGTGTGTGACAGAAAGGTCTATCCACTTGTTCAAGCACTCTCAGTATGTAGGGACATTTCTTTCCGGAAAAGCAGGGCATGGCCTGCTGAGGACTGAGGACACGGGCTCAGTGACCCCCACCCAGGCGGACCCCGGCCTCTGTACAGAGGGACCCACCCTCTGCCCTCTCCCCCTCCCATGTTCCCCACATCAAGCTGCACAAGATACCTGTGTCCTCCGGGGAGCCATAAGAGGGGCTGCCCTGGGATAAGGTGGCCCAGCTCGAGTCCTCGTCGCTGGCTGCGCTGTTCCGCATGCCAAACAGGAGGCTGGCGCTCTTGCTGTGCTCTCGGGGGCCGTCTGCCAGGGCCTGGGGCCCAGGGGGCAGCTCTGCACTCTCCAGGGGCTCCGGCAGCCCTGGGGGAGAAGATAAGTCCTCCTCCTCTTCCTCCTCCTCTTCCTCATCATCCTCCTCGGCCTCCCCCGCTGCCTTCTCCTCTCCCTCATCCGGGCCCTGCTCTTGGGTGCTGATGATCAGGCCGGGTCCTCGCGGCCCTCTGTTGGCCGCATTGTGGGCGGAGAGCTCCAGCTCAGAGTACAGGTGCATCAGGCCTTTGGGGCCCAGCGGTGCCATCTCGGGTTCCTGGCTGGCCTCCTCAGCCAGGGTCAAGGTCACATTGCGGTTCTGGTCGCGGTGGGCTGTGGCGGCCCGCCGGAGCTGGTTCTGGCCCTCCTTTAGCCACTTGGCATTGGCGGGGCCCGGCTCGGGCCCACCACCCTCCCCCATGGCACTGCGCAGATCCTTGGGTCCCACGGCCGTGGCCTGCAGCTTGGCGTTGAGCAGCTGGTTGTGGGCAGCGTGCAGAGGCAGGGGCAGGCTCAGTGCGGGGCCTCCGTGGCTGTTGGCATTAATGGCCGACTGGCTCAGGGATGATGGAACAGACATGGCCTCAGCAGATCCTGCAAGTGGGAAGAGGAGACCACGCTGAGCCTCCAGGTCAGCAGAGCAACACCCCTGCTTCAGCCCCAGGCCTGTGCCCTGCACCTCCTCACCTCCCTGCCCTCAGGAGGCCAGCACATACCACTGTGTCCTGTGAGCTCTCATCCCAGGAGAGTAACTGGGCTCCACCCTGCCCGTCATCCACCACACCCACTCCACCACCACCTGCAGCAGCCAGGCCCAGGCCAGGTCCACCCCCTCCCCAAACCCCCAGCCCCGAGCTTCCAGGGCTAGCACAGCCAGCCCCTGCTTTGCCCTTGCTCCCAACGGCAGAGACTCCATAACAATGGCTCTCTGTGCATCCCCACCCCCAACTCATCCAACTGGGGCTTATTGTACCAGGGGTGCGGCTGGTGAGGAGCTAGCTCCTGTGTTCTAGACGCTGGACACTGCCTGCTCCCTGCCTCCTGCCACACCGCTACCCACAGCCCCAGCACTGTGAGCTCCCCGGGCTCCACTGCTCTCATCATAAATCACTGGGCCCAAATGGGCCCCAAGTCCACCCCGTACGAGGGACTGGGAAGACAAGAGAGAATGAACTGCAGACCAAGACCCCAAGGGCAAGGTCCTGAGCCCTCAGGTCACAAAACAAGGGCCTCGAGCTCCAATTCATGGCTCCTTTGACCAGCTGAAGCTGCATTTTGGTGACTGTTTCTATAAAGTATCTCACCTCAGGTACCAGTTCCTCTGCCAGCACGGTCACTGCAAGAGCCTTTGATCTGGACCATCCGCCCCTTAGGTCTTTGCCTAAATGTCACCTTTTCAGGGAGGCCTTCCCTGAATACCCTAAAACTGTAGGCCACCATGCCCCCTCCCAGCCGTCCCCAAACTCTCCCCAGCACCAGTACTGTCTAACAAGCTAATTTATTATTTACTTGGTTTAATGACTGTCTTCTCATGACTGTATTGAGTTTCATGGTGGTGAGGATTTTGCCTTTTTTTATTCAATGCAGTATGCCTACAGCTTAGCTCAGTGCTGACACAAAGCAAGAACTCAATAAATACTTGTTGAATCAATGTATGAATCTGCCCTCCCATCTCCCCTGGCCCCATTGAGCATCCCCTCTGCCAGTTTCAGAAAACACACAGTGGTCACGTTACCGTGTGTCAGCCACTGCTCATGGTGCCCCAACCAAACTCCACTGGCCCTTCTGGTGAGGGGCTCACCTGTTCCTCAATGACAGTCAACCCTTCCTGGCCCCCTGAACCCCCTCCTGCATCCTCAGAAGCCCTTTGTGGATCACCTTCTCCACCTATCAGGCTTCCCACCCCATCACCCTAATGATTGATCCCACCCTCAGAGCCCCATTCCACCCTCCCCATCTCCCTGACCTTCCACTCGAGGCTTCTCCCCTGCTCAGACCCCCACTATAATGTGCTCACTTCCTGGATGCGCCCCTCACAATTTGTCCTCCCTCACCAAACTGCTCAATTTTCTCGCATCCTGACCCTCTTAGATGGCCCCATCACACTCTCCTCCCCTCCCCAATAGCCTCACTCAGAGTTCTCTCTTCCTACCTGATCTCCTCCAACAGGCAACTGACCCCACTGTTTGCCCCCAATGCACGCCTTCCCCTGTGATTCTCACTGCACAGTTCTTTCTCCTCAATTTCTCACCTGAGAGCTCTCTAGCTCCCTGTTCACCCCAAGCTCTTTGTCTCCCTGAACCCACAGCCTCAGTTCTTCCTGCCTCCTTGGCAGAACCCTCAACCCTGAGCACTGGCTGTAGGGAGGTGTTTAGGCTGCCTGGCAAAGCTTGGCCATCTCCTGGGTGCAGTGCCCCGCTTGTGAGGCGGGTGCCATAGCTCACCTCTCCGTCATTTCTAGCTCCTCAGACCCTAGCACGATGCCATGCACACATCTGTGAAAGAAATGAGGAACGGTTCCTGTCCACGTGTCTGCCTCCCACGTAACTGACTGCTGGTCTGCTCAGTATGGCTTCCCCTGGGCGATGAAAAATCTCATGGCCACTGGCACCAATGAGAAAAATAAACGGCTCTGCCTCTATCCAGAACCACAGTAATCTTCCAAAAATGGAAACCAGATTGTGTCACCCTCCAGCTCAAAAAATTAGATGGCTCACCGCTGCCTTTAGGAAAAAGTCTGCGCTCGTTAGCAGATCACCAAGAGCCTCCTTGAGCCAATCCTTGGGACCCCTCGAATCCCCTCCCCATCCTGTCTCCTCCTCAGCTTATGCCCCAGCCACAGGAAGAATGGTGGACTCTAGAACGTGTCACACCCACCGAGCCCGGGCTCTTTGTTTACACTGATCCCTCGGCTTGGAATCCTGTCTCCCTTTGTGAGGACCTCTGATCAGGTTTCAAAACCTGGCTTAGCCATCGCACCTCCTAAGCAGTAAGTCTTTCCTGGTTGGTCCCCTCTCCCCTCCTCACGTGCCCATTCCCTCCTCTGCGTCTCACCATGCCTAGCACCACCGCATTCCAATGGAACATCTGAGACCGTGTCCTACTCAACTTCACACTCCATGACCAAAGAGTGTGTGCAGTGCGTCTGCAGAGTGGGCCCCTGGTCAGGATGGAGGGGTAAGAGGAACAAAGAACTAGGTAGCTCAGAACTAATTGGGAATAGATACTGAGACAGGCTTGTGTGGTCCCATGGGCCGGGGAAGGAGAATCAGGGAGGGTGCTGGAGAATGCTGAAGGGTCCCTGAGAAGGAAGTAGTATGGGGTCCCAGGCAAGCAAGGTCTGAGATCAAGGAAAAAGGGGGGAGGTTGGCTTAAACTGACATCCTGGCTCAAAGGCTGTTCCTCTGAGTTTCAGGAGATGAGAGACCCCATGACTGCGCCACGCTCGGAGCATCACAGGGATGACGTGCCCTCCTCTAAAGCAGGAGTGTGTGGAGCCGGGTTTCTCAGTACTCGGCACCAACCTCCTTGGCATCTGGAGGTGTGGTCTGAGAAGGGCACGTGGCCTGTGAGGCTGGGACTCTGAGAAGTCAGGGTGACTTCAGGACAGCCCTGCCCATCTGCTCACGGGGGCAGAAAGCACTGGGGGAGGGAAGCGGGTGTTCTGCCGTGACGGCTGAAGCCTGAGTGCCTGTCCCAAGAAAGTGCCGTCACCTTCACTTCATTTCTTAAGGTCAAAGAATGGCCAGTTGCTCAGTATCTTCAAGAGGGGACACAACCCAACCTCTCCCCTCCTACTGGTGCTACTCACACCTGGGACCTCTCCAAGGATGGAAGGAGCCACATGGATTCTGGCTCAAGGCAGGGAGCAGGCAGGCTCCACAGGGGAGGAAATAAGAGTGGCCACTAAACCTGAAGGGGCTGACAGGAGGCCACAGGGGTAGGGGGTGAATCCTGCTCAAGGTCAATGGTTTTTTAGCCTGACTGCTTATTGTATGCCAGGCACCGTGTTAGGCATGGGGGAGAGAGAGATGAATAATAAAGAAATGGCTCTTCCTTGATGGAGCTTACAGTCTATTGGGAATCAATCGCTAAAGAGCTCATTACACTGCAGTATCATGACAGTATCTAACCCTCTAAGCATTCTGTATTTGTTGAATAAATGATTGAGGATTACGATGGGAAAAGAACAGGCTACTATAGGATCCCAAGGTTTACTTTAGCCAAGACATCAGCGAAGACCTGCCTGAGACAAGAACACAGCTCTCCTTGGACCAACCCCTTCACCACCCCTCCCTCTCAGAGGATAACGCCACCCTCCCCCACTCCTAATTCATTGAGAAAATGGGAGTCATCAGCCAGAGAATATCCTCAGGCCCAAAAACATACTGAGTCAGCATCTATTCATTTCTCTCCTTTTCTCCAAAACCAATTGCTTCACCTGTCATTTAAATTCCTTTGATGCCTTTCTAGGAATTTTTTTTAAACCACTGTTGATCCATTTTTTTCTTCCATGTAGTCAATGGTTCCTCAATGAGATCCACTCTCTCCCAACTTAAACACAGAACCTTTCCTGAGCTGACACCATGAACTTCTTGAAAGAGCCATCTTTTCTCACTGTTGCCATTTCCTCACCTGGGTCTCACTCTTCAATTCTTTCCAGTCCTGCTTCCACTCCCAACACACCTCAGTAACAGCTCCTTCCAAGGTCAACATGACCCCAGTGTCATTTACTCCAACAGACACTTGGAGTCCTCATCCTGGTTGTACTTTCAGCAGCATCTGACACCACGGCCTCTCATCCAGCTTTCAGCCAAGGCTTCCACACACCGTATCTCCTGGTTTTCTTCCTACACTCTTGATACTGTCCGATGGTATCTTATACTCCTTTGCTGGCTCATCTTCCTCTGCTGGAGCTTCTCATGGCTTATTCTCATGCTGTTTTCCCATTCTCACCCAATATTCAATACAAGTATTCATTCATGCCCATAACTTCAGTTGCCCCCTACAAACTGATGATTTCCAAAAGTATACCTCCATTTCGGAACCTTCATCTGAGCTCCAGATGGATACATTCAACTTTCTACTCAATATCTCTAGCTAGATGTCTCAAAGGCCTCTCAAACCAACATACTCACTCATGTTTCTCTCCCACACCCTAACTGGTCCTCTTTCAGGATTATGGCTCATGGAATAACATGACCATCCAACCTGTTCTATAAACCAGAAGTAGGAATTCCATCCTTGACACCACCTTCTCCATCTCCCTCCATATTCAATCTATCCCCAAGTACCGACGATCTTTTATCCAAGAAAAATTTCTGGATTTGATTGATGTTCTACATCTACTACCATCAACAGTCCACACCAAGGACAAAGGCTTTATGATCAAAATTCTTAACACGCCCTAAATTATCCAGCTCAGCCTGGCCTCCACCTTCCTTCCACGTTTGGCACTTTGCCATCCAGCATCACTGGTCTTCTTTTGATTCCTTGAAGACATCATGCTCTCTCCTTCCATAAGGTATTTACACATGATTCCCCATCTGCCCAGAACTCCCTTTCCCTACCCTCCCAGCTTAACTCCTACTCATCCTTTACCGCTTAGTTCAAATGTCATGTTCTTAGCCTTCCTTGGTCCTCTCTCCCTACCCTCCAGTACAGTTTAGCTTGTGCTCCTGTGTGTTCTCAAGACACCATTCACCTTTCCCTTCATCGTATTTATTATAACTGTAATTTTATTCTTATCTGACTTTCCCCTTAGACCATCAGCTCCATGGAAACAAGGGCATAGTGTATTTTGCTCATCATTAATCTTCAGTGCCTAACAGTACCTGGTATATACTAGGTGCTCAAAGCACACTTGCTGAATAAATAAATGATTGGATAGATTTTTTTTTTTAGTAAAGAAAAATTATGTTAGAGTATTAAGGGGAAGTAAGCAAGAGGGTATGTTATCAAAGCAATCAAGGAAAAAAGGGGGTGTGTGGCCTAGATTAAGTTTGGCAGCAGTGGGTGAGATGGAGTGAAATGAATGAATTTGAAAAATACTTAGGTAGGGGATGTGGCAGAACTTGCTGACATAAGATATAGGGTGAGAGACAGAGATTAATCTAGAATGTTGCCCAGGGTTCCAGCTTGGGTAGCTGATTGGAAAGTATCCATTTCTGAGAGTTGAAATTTGGAGACTTGAGAGTGAATAAAATATGAGAAGAAAGTGCAGAATGAGAGGAGACAGTCTAGGAAAGAACCAAAAGCATCACCAGCAACTAAAGAAAGGGGAGGAGGTAGCAAACGAGACTGAGAAGGAGCAGACAAGGCTGCAGGAGAGAAACCCAGAAAATGTTTCAGGAAGAGTCGACCCACACCACTGACACCAAGAAATGGCAAGGAGGTGCAGGAAAAGTGTCCATTAGATTTGGCCACATGGACGTCTCCAGTGACCTTGGCTTGAGCATTTTCCATAGGCGCCAGAGACAGAAGATGGAGTGAAGTGGTTTTAAGAATGAATGGGAAGCGAGGAAATAAAGATATCAAAGCGTAGAGGAGGTTCTGGCTTTAAGGAGTGTAGCCAGCTGAGGCTCCGAGGGGCTGGGAAAGCAAGAAACACACAGGCAGGTTCAAAATAGATTCGAAATATCCTCTGAATCGACAATAAGAAAACTGCTTCTAATGAGTGCTCCAGCCAGCGCTAGGCCTCCAGGCTGAGCTGGGGCCAGCCGGCCCCAGGGCACACCCCTCGGTCGCCGAGGGCAACAGAATGCGGCTTGACAGATTTCAGGCCTGGGTCCCTGCAGGAATTCATGCGGCCTGCTGGCCCACCTCACCCCAGTCCCCTTCCCAGTCCTTGACCACCCCTCCCCCATCCCCTAATTCCCCTCCCCCATCCCCCACCGCCCCCAGCTGCCCGTTCCTTATTCTCGCTCCCTATTCATTCCGGAGGGGCAGCAGGTGAAGGTCGGGGAGGGAACGGCGTGAGGACCTTAGCAGAGTCGGACCTTGGAAGGAGGGAACAGGAGGGCGGTCGGAATACGCGGTGGGAGGGCCGCCCGCAGGGATGGGGCCTGGCCGGGGGGACGCAGGCCGCCCCGAGGTTCGGGCTGCAGGATCCGCGGGCCGCTGGGGACAGGGATCCGACAGCCCAGGTTGGGCGCCGTCAGGGGCAGCTCCTACCTGCGCGGGGAGGCCCCAGGCCCAGGTGGCGGAGGTGGCTCAGGCTGCGGGGCTCGGGCTCAGCGTCAGCTTCTCCATCACAACATCCCCCGCCCAGGAGCGCGCGGGCCGCGGGGCCGCGCCCGGAGCGGCGGAGGCGCGCGCGGGGCAGGGGTGGGGGAGGGGCGCCATCTTGGGCCCCTCGGCAGCCGAGCGGAGGGCCCCTCCCTACGGCGCCCTGCGGCCTCGGGTAGCCCCGCGCCGCCAGCCCCCTCGCCGGCCGCCGTCCCTGCTCCCGGGTGGGTCCCCAGGTCCCAGAGGGCGGCCTCAGCATCCGCCGACCCCCGCGCAGCCCGGCACCGCCCTCCGCCAGGGGACCCCGGACTCACCCTGCGCGCCCCGCAGGGCCCTGGCCCCGCGCCGCCGCGGGGCGACGCTCCGACGAGGTTGGAGCGGGAGCGGCGGTGACGGTGCCCGGGCCGCGGCCGCGCGGGGAGGGGCTGGAGGAGGCCGCCTGCTCGGCTCTTGCGGCAGCACTCCCTGACGTCCTGGTGGTAAGCGATGAGGACACAGCGCTGGTGATAATAATAGCTCGTATTTATTGACCGCTTTCACGGTGCCAGGCTCAGTGTTAAACCCTTTGTACGCATTCGTGCTCACACCAGCCCTGTGAAGTCGCCGCTCTGATTATCCTCAGTTTGCAGACAAGATGCTGAGGTTCAGAAAGGTAAAGCGACTTGTCTGCGGTCACAGGTAAGTGGGGGAGACAAACTGGAACCCAGATGTTTCTTCACACCCTACCCCTGCGGTTGGACGTGAGACTGTGACTCCAAGGCCTTGCAGACGTGAAGAATGAATAGCTCCCTGGCAGAAGTTCCCAGAAGGGCCAGAAGAAGCGGAGAATGCAGATGAAAAGTAGGAAGGAAGGAATGGTGGAGCTCAACACTGCAGACTCCCTGGATAGTGGGGTAGTCCCCACTGGTCAGGTCAGTGGCCCAGAGGCCATCAAAGCCAGTGAGAGGGAGTGTCACCATCCAGAAACCCTCCCCTGACTCATTCCTCTAAGGCAGAGGTTTAATTTATTGTACCTGCGAACTATTGAGCAACTGACTGAAGATGCCTTTGGGGTGCCTAAAACTAAAAATGTCCAAATCTAAACTCATTGTCTCACCCCCCCCTTTTTTTTTGCCTTTTAAGAAGTTTCACTGGGATGAAAAACAATTCTCTCCAGTACATGTATCTGAGAACACACACACACAAACACACACACACACACACACACACTACTAGACCCAGCCCCACTTCATCCATCCCAGTGAATGGCATCACCATCTACTGCTTGCCTAAGCCAGAAGTCTCAAGATCATATTTGACTACACCTTCACTTGACTTGAGGTGAATATAAATGTTTTTAACGTTTTGTTATGGAGATTTTCAAATATATACAGAGAGATAACAGAATAGTATAATGAACTCTCATATACCCATCGGAAATTATCAACTCCTGGCCAAGAGTTTATTATGATTTGACAAACTTCTACTATATACCAACCACGTACCAAGCCTCAGGCTAGGTCCTAGGGTCCCAAAGATGAACCAGATTTGACTGTTACCCAACTTGGAGAGTATAACCTATGACTTTTGTCTTTGAAAGATGAGTAAGAGTTACTCAGAAGAAGAAAGATGTCCTCATTCATTTGATAATTATCTCTCAATAAATAATTATAGTGCCGGAGGCACTGTCCTTGGTGCTAGAAACTTGTCAAGAGACAAGATTCAGTCCCTGCCCTCATGAAGCTTGACTAACAAAGGAAAGTGATACTAAATATATGATTAGAATTGTGATGAGTGTTTTGAAGGAAATCTACAGAATACTATGTGAGTGGACTAAATTTCACCTGGGGACATTTGGAAAGACTTTCACAAGGAAGTGGCACTTGGGGGGGGGGGGGAAGGGTGAAAAAGAGGTCATCCAGGAGAAGAGAAAATGATTCCAAGTCAAAGGAGAAGTACAAGAAGGCCAGGATGGGTGTGATAATGTAGAAGAATGGCATGAGGTGAGCTGGAAAGGTAGACAGGTGCCAAATCAAGGAGAACCATGGCGTTAGGCTTAGGGTTTGGGACTTTAATTTAGGGCAGTGGGAAATCATCAAAAGGTTTGGGGCAGGGGAGGGACATGTTCATTCACCTTTGCATTCTTTTTTTTTTTTTTTTTTACATCGTTGACATTGTTCAGGCACTCAGTTGTATCCGATTCTCTGCAACCCCATGGACTGCAGCACACCAGGCTTCCCTATCCTTCACTATCTCCTGGAGTTTGCTCAGATTCATGTCCACTGAGTTGGTGATGCTGTCTAACCATCTCATCCTTTTGCTGCCCACTTCTCCTTTTGCCTTCAATCTTTCCCAGCCTCAGGTGGCAGAAGTATTGGAGCTTCAGCTTCAGCGTCAATCCTCTTTTTTTAAGAGGTAAATTTTTTAATAGATTTTTTTGATGTGAACCATTTTTAAAGTCTTTATTAAATTTGTTACAATAGTGCTTCTGTTTTATGAACTTGTCTTGCCAATTCCATTAAGCAGGATGGCTATAATATCCAGGGATGTCTCTTCAGGTAGTCACAGGTAGATGGTGAAGATGGGGAGAGGCATCTAATTAGTTAAGATGCAAACAACAGTGCAGTTAAGATGTACATATGGGCCTCTCCTTTGGGATCTCCACTCTCTTCACCCTCACACCTGGGGGGTGTACTATCCTTTGTTTACTGAATAAAACTTTGAGCTGTAACCGAGCTGTTAAAAAAAAAAAAAAGATATACATACAGTGCAGTTTGATCCACACACAGTTTTCCTGAAACTCTGCTCTCCTAGTTCTGCAAAGCCTCCTGACTGGTGGGGAGTCAACCTGTACCCTTCATCCATCCTTTCTATGTTGTCTCTCATCCCCCTTCTGATGGTTTCCAGAACAACCAGCAGCTTATGAGCCATCTCAGATACTCTGTGTGGTTTTGACCAATGTGGGTCCCCCTGAGGCAGCAAATTTTTCAAATTATTACCTTGAACTTACCAGGAAAAACTGATTAGAAGCAAATCCATCCAGACTCATTTACCAGGAGTACTGACTTTATGCTGTTTGGTTTAATAGATCAGCCTGATGAACATCTGTATCACCTATAGGTGACTTGGCAACCAAGTCACCTATAGGGAAGAATAGAGCTTGCAGCCCTATTAGCAGCAAAGACACTTTTGGAGCAAAGATGATCTTTTCTACTAATACATGTAAATATTGCTTTGATATTGTAATTTTTCTTGTAGTTGATACAATAAACCCTCTTTCTTCAGATTGGTTGTTATCATTTGGGAAATCCATGAATAAAATCTTACTACATATTATATGCAGTGGATCTCAAAAGTCAATTGCTAGGTCTAGAAAGGACTTCCTCAGCACCATTCTTCAACAGGACTGTTCTAGTACATTCCTAGGAAGACCAAGTAGAGAATGAGAAAAGGATGGAGGACTGAACTCTGGGAATGCTAGCATTTGGGAGCCAGCAGAGGAAAACAAGGCCCGAGGAAAGAGGAGAAGAAACAGAATAAGAGAAGATTGGGAGAGGTGGGCAGAGGAGCCTGGTGGGCTGCCATCCATGGGGTCGCGAAGAGTTGGACACAACTGAGTGACTTCACTTTCTCTTTTCACTTTCATGCATTGGAGAAGGAAATGGCAACCCACTCAGGTATTCTTGCCTAGAGAATCCCAGGGACAGAGGAACCTAGTGGGCTGCCGTCTATGGGGTCACACAGAGTCGGACACGACTGAAGCGACTTAGCAGCAGCAATATCATGGAAGAAATCCAAGGGAGGAAAGATTTTCAAGGAGGAAGATGTGATCAACAGCATCAAATGCAGCAAAGATTTCCAACAGGTCAAGGTCAAAAAATGTATACTTTGAATTTGGCAATATGGAGGTCATGGATCCCTGTATGATCTATATTAGCAGAAAATAGAGGCAGAAGCCACAATGCCACAATAGTACTTAAGCAAGTGAAAATGAGGAAGTAGGATAAGTAAGTGCAGATCCCTCTTTAAGAAAGTTGGAAGAAAGAGTAGACAGTAGCTGAAAAGTGGTACAAAGTTGAAGATTCTGGTTTTATCTTTTTTTTTCCCTTAAAGATGACGGAGACTTGAATATGGTCTGTGTGCCTGCATATATACTAAGTCGCTTCAGTCGTGTCCAACTCTTTGTGACCCTATGTACTATAGCCTGCCGGGCTCCTCTGTCCATGGGATTCTCCAGGCAAGAATGCTGGAGTGGGTTACCATGCCCTTTTCCAGAGGATCTTCCCAACCCAGGGATCAAGCCTGCATCTCTTATATTTCCTACATTGGCAGCATTCTTTACTACTAGTTCCACCTAGGTATAAACTACAGAAAGATACCAAGGAGAGCAGATAGATTTGAAAGGAAAGGGAAAAAAATGAAAGATAGATTGAGATTCTAGAGGTGATGAGAGGAGGTGGGATCAAGGGCTCAGATAGAATTGGACACCTGAGCTTTATAGGCTGAAGGGTTGGGGTGAGGATAGAGGGTAGATAGGATAATTAATAAGGTGGGAACCAGGCAAGAGATTAAGGTATTTCACGCCTAGTGATATCAATATTTCTGAAGTCTCTAGCTGAGGAACGGAAGGAGGATTGGATGGAGAATATGGAAAACCTTTTAAGTATTATCCTGTCACGAACGAGTTATTGTTGCCTTTGTTGTTACCAGTGCAGCATCTTTTCCTCCTCTGACTGGTAACAGCACATCAGTTTTCTTTGAAGACCCATCTCCTCCCCACTCTTAATCTGTGGGGTTCAGATGGGAATCATTCGAATTCGATAACCCATTTCAGTGCTGGGCTCTTATCCAGGATCAAGTCAAAATGATCAATTCAGAGATAGGCACATGACTAATCTGAGCCAGTTAAACTCAGTTCCAGGAATTTTCCTTCAACTTTTGGGCTAGCGGTGCTGGTAGAATATAAGCCTGGTCCTTATTTTGCCTGCCACCAGAAGGGATAAGCCTGCCTGAGAATGAAACCAATGTAAAAAAAACAGAGCTAAAGGATGGAGAGATACAGATGCTTGATAATTCCATTTAACACCTTTGTTTACCTTTTCCTGAAGTCTCATAAGTTGATCAATATTTTTTGTTTACACCACTTTGAGCCGGGTTTTATAGCTTACAACCAAGAGTTATGACAAATATATGAGGTCAATACTGCCTATTGGTACTCAGCCCTACATCCATTGTTCTGTAATCTCCCTTGTACCAACAAGGCTGGAGATCCGAAAACCACATTTCTCAGGTTCCTTTGTCGCTTTGTTCCAGTTAGATTGTGCCAATGGGAACCCTCGCTTGAAGAAGGTGGGAGGAAGGAAAGAGTCACTCTGCTTTTGGCAGGGCCTCTTCAGGAGGAAATTCAGGAGCAGTGGCTCCACCCTAGCAAACAGGGAGGCTGTTACAGCAGCATCAGCAATACAGACTCTAGCTGCATTAGCACCCAAT